ATTGCTTGTCTAATCTTTTGAATTTTGTCTGTGAAGAATTTGGCAAAGTCATTGCAGGCCAAGGTTGAATGAAGTTCAGCTGCCACTGACACAGGAGGGTTTGTTAGCCTGCCAGCTGTTGCAAATAAGACCCGAGCATTATGGCTGGTTTTGGTGACGATGTCAGAGAAGTAGGACCTCCTTGCATTCCTCAGTTGTAAAATATAATTGAAGTTTCTCTTTATAGATGTCATAATGAACCTGGAGTTTCATTTTTCTCCAAACAGTTCGGGGTTTAGAACACATTTTGTGTAATTACAACAATATGTAACTTATGACCTGGTTGCATAAAGAAAACAGACACATGCATGGCCTTTTGCCACGTTCTATGGGAACTGCAGAAGACTGTGTCTTAACACCGATACTTGAGATTTCATCTATGGACTAAAGTATTATTTAACTGTAGCGCACTCTAGTGGACAAATTTGCACCGCTACTATGGCAACTGCTTATCAACAATCCGCCGTAGGTCCGGCGGTAGAAATGTCTCAGGCTGGTGCGGAAACCCTGCTTAAAACCGTAATCGGGCACATTGTGCACGAGTGCAGGCTGAGGGGACATGCGGTGTCGGAGACGCTGGCAGCTTTTATGGTCGGTAAAACGAAGTAAGCACTTAGTCGTTAAGCTAACGCTGCTGCTGCACACGTTCACGATGTTTTCAAACATCCACAGGTGTCTGCTGTGGTGCTGGACCCAAGAAATGGCTTTAATGTTGACAGGACCCTTACTAAAGATGATGTTCAAAAACTCGAAGAGGTGAGCTGCTTTATTTCTTTTTCTAATTGGTGTTAGTGGTTCTGAAAATCACTGTATGTTTGAGTCGAAATTCTGTTCTGTTACAAAATTAGGAGGTAGAAGGGGGCTTCCCATGATGCACTGCATTTCTTCTCCATTTAGTGAGGTTATGGGAGAAAGGCCAAGAATCAGAAGTTTCCATTTAACAGGAGGCAACTTCAAACAGGGAGTGGCAGCTGCGCTCTCCTCTTCTGAGTCCTGATTTTTTTT